TTAGCAACCAAGATGCAATCTTGTACCAAACCCGTAAGCAAGAAATTTTTAACTTGCTAGACGCAACAAAAAAAATTATTGAAGAAAACATAACGAACCCGAATGGTAACAAATGGCTCGATAGTATTAATAAAAACTTTGAGCCATTGCGTAAATTGGAGGAGGATTATAATCATTATAAAAGGCAACGAAATATTCCAAATACTTGGAAAAACCGTAATCATAATACTTTCTGGCTGTAATAAATATTAATTAATTTAATGCTTATCGTTAATATTTCGTTAGTCTATGGCTGTAATAAATATTAGTTAATTGAAATAAATAAAATGATTAATTTAATGCTTATCGTTAATATTTCGTTAGTCTATGGCTGTAATAAATATTACGTTTATTAAGTTTATTCGAAATAAATAAAATGATTAATTTAATGCTTATCGTTATCGTTAATATTTCGTTAGTCTATAAATTTTTTTTTATTTGTATTTTTTGTTCAAGTTACATGAATTTTTAGTGCTCGATAACTTATCACGTGATTTTCGAAACTTTTTTGGGTGGCGATTTTACCCCGGTCGGCCGATCCCGACCCTAAATTTTGGTCGGTCTGCTGAATTTTGGTTGCTCCACTAATCTATCCCGAACAGTATGTAACAACATTCAATGGAATACTTAACAGAATATATTTTTTTAGAAGCAAAAATTAGCATTATTAAGCTTTGATATTAAATTAATAAATAGAATAAATTAAGTATATGATTTTATCATTATGAAAATCTTGAATTATTTTTTAATTCCCAATGTCGTTTACGGAATTAGTCAATTAATATAATATCGTTATCCTGATTGATGAATAATTGGAATTAACTAATCAAATCGTCAAAATATACGCCAAGAGTTGAACAATTAAATTAGTTGATTAAACAGTCCACTGTTATTTATGCACTATAGGATCTAGTTGATCGATTGTTTTGATATAATGAAACACTAGTTCATGTTTAAGATTTTTGAGAAAAATTCTCCAATAAGCGATCTAATTGATTTAATAAAGCAGTTGCGTCCTCTTCATTATAACCATCGATAAAATTCTCATCATAGTAAACTGTTCCCCATGGTTTGACACAGCTACCATACTTAAGAGATTTATTAAGGCATTCGATGGGTAGTGTAGCCACAATGAAATTAGAATATGAGCCATTCCATGCGGTGATTGTTTCTTCTCGTAACCCACAAATGCGTCCCTAATTTGCGTAACAGTGTTAATGAAAGTCAAAAGATCCATTAAAATAATTAAATTAAATACCAGATGAAATCCAACTATCATTAATTTGCCCATAATCCATCCCAAATGATCACCGACAATATTTGTAGCAACAATACCGGGATGAGTTGTAAAACTGTGAATGTGTCGTTGGTTCAAACGGGTATTAAGAGCTATTGAAATGATATCGGTGATATATTTGGATGATTCGTAAGGATTATTGCTACACAAAACACAGATCGAAAATTGGTTAAATCGTCAGCAAACTCAAATCTATCAAATCTACTAACCTCTCAATACATTGGTAGTCCGAAAAGTTATAATAATCTTTGCTAGAAGTACTAGAACTCGTCCAAATTATGCGAGCATCACCTGATTTACTCATCAAATCTTCTAATTGACGCACCTATAAATACATTAGATGAATAAAAATTAACAATCAATTAAGGTTTATTTTTATTAAAGAATTGTTCGCAAACACTTTATTACAAACCATCACATAGTGCCCAAACACATTGCATGCAAATGTTTCACCTAATCCGTCTTTCGTTTTATTTCCTATAGACTGAACTACTGCTTTAGATTCTGTTAATAAGCTTACAGGGCTTGTCAATCCTAAATATAGCGCGCTCCACCAGTCTACATATTCACATGATAATATCCCAGCATTACAGAATAGTAAGTCAATTCGATCATATCTAATTAAATTAAATGTTAAAACTGTTTCAGCACGAATTACGTTATAAAAAAGATTCAAACTTACTTTTCTTTGATTTCCTTACAACACTTAAAAACAGAATCAATCGAACTAAGATCAACGATTACTATATCAACCAAACTTTCAGGATATTCTTTTGTTAACTCTTCACGAGCAACGGAAGCTCGTGTTGCATTGCGACAAGCAAGTACAATACGAATACGGTAGGAAGGATTTTTCGACGAATAGTCTAATAGCCTTTGTGCGATTCCGAATCCCACACCACTATATTTTAATGGCCAGATTTGTAATTTAAAAATTAACTATTTATAGACTGTAATATTAAGATTAATTTGATTAACATTAAAGATATATCAGGTTTAATGCTAGTCGAAATTAATCTTAATCCTTAAGGTAGAGTTTACTGTTTTTAAATTTTAATGATAATCTGTTATATTCCACGTTAAGAGAAGTTTTTACTAAGTATAGTGAACCATCTATAAATGAACTCGTCGGAGGAAAGTCAGACTGTGACACGTGATAACGAGCACCCAAATATAATATATTATCGGCACCTTACTATGATAGTACCAACAGAATAACTCGAGTTATTTTGATTATGATCGCATCATTATCAAATAACGGAGTTATTTGATGATGACGCAATCATCATCAAAAGAACTCGAGCTATTATTCTGTTGGTTCGGTCGTCGTAAGATACCGAATAATACCGTTATTGAATGCTACTCAGCCAGATAATGAAATTATTTTACAAATAATTTCCGTTATTGGCTGCTTCGCATCCAA